GCTGGACTGGCCGGGGAGATGGCTCAGTGTGATAAGTGCTTGCCTGGCAAGCACAAGGTCCTGAGTTCAATCCCTGGCACCACAAAAAAAAAAAAAAACAAAAACAAAAACAAAAACAAAAAAAAAACCTAGTAGGCTGGACTCTAGTTCTGTGTGTGTATGTGTGTATGTGTGCGCGCACATGTGTGTGTGTGTGTGGTTTTCCGTGGTGGTTTGTGGGGGCCTCCAGGTTACCTAGTTCCCTCAACATCCTCAGATCCAGTGAGCCCTACGAAAGGCCACCTATGAAGCCAGGGCCAGGGGGTCTTTGGACAGCACCTTTTCCCCGCAGAGCCCTGGGCAGCTGGTGGGAGAGTACCCAGAGGGCTGGAAAATCCATAGACTGCATAATCAGCCCCTGCATCTTGGCCGCTTGACTCTGTTTATTGCTTCCTGTCCCTGAAAGCCCTTTGCAAACAGAGCTGCTTTGAGGGGGGTGAGCCGGACCTGCTGGGTGGCCTGTCCCTGGCGGGGCGGGTGGTATGGTCCCACAGCACAGAGGGAACAGCCTCCTTCCAAAAGCCCATTCCCAGCCCCTCTTCCTGCCCCTGCCCAGCAGAGCAGTTGGGGGGCGTCCAGTGGGGAGAGAGTGAGAATGTGAGAAGACTGCTCCCCAAGGAAGCTGTCACTTCGTCACTGACAGAGGACCAGGGCCCCATTTCTCCTAATTTCCTCGAGAGCCTCCCGGGTAAAGTCTCGACAGGCGCAAGGAAGAAGCAGAGTTAAATCTTAGTCTCTTGTGGACCTGCAAGGTGGTGGCAGAGAGTGGCCATAGATAGTTCTGGGGACAAAGGCTTGTACGGGGCTTGCTCACAGCTGGTTTATTATTGTTTGCACTTCATTTTTAGAAACAGGTTTTTCCTTGCAACTGACTTCTCTCCCCTGTTAACCCTACTTCCTTCCTTCCCTTTCACCTCCCCGGCCTTCGCCTTTCCTCCCCCCAAATTAACTCTCAGCCTCTGGGGCCACAGCTGGTGACTGAGAGGTTATTCTCAGCGAAAGGCCGAAGCCTGATAAAGCTGCCCTAGCTGCCGGGTTTTGGGCTGCTGGGGACTGCTAAGGTGTTTTTTTTTTCCATCTGGGACAAGGTGGGAGCAGGGTTTGCGTGACACCTGATGATCAGAAGAGAAGCGCAGCCCTGTGGGAAGCAGGGGTGCTGGAGGGCTGCGTTCTCTTGGCCTCTGCTGGACTGAGCCCCTTCTCGCTGTCCCTAGGTCTGGCCTCCCTAACTTGGAAGTCTTGACCACAAAGCCTGATTTTATCCTCAGCTGGAAGCCTTCTCTAATTGGAAAAGCAGCGGAGACTGTCAGCCTGTTTGCGCCTCTCTGCCCCTTTCTCCCTCCCCTCCCTCCCCCTCTTTCTCCCCGCCCCTCCCTCCCCCCACCTCCTATGTGTGATCAGCTGTGGTTTGCCTGCGCCTTCTGCCGGTGGCCGTCTAAGCAAACTCCACCTGGGACCTGTGTGTGTCTGAGCCTGCGCTTTTTGGTTGTGCAATTCTCAGCCTGCCCCACCCTCCCCTCCTTCCTGAAAGTGAAATGCTACAGTCCTTGCTCAAGAACAAAGGCCCAAGCGCAGGGCTGCATGCTAATGATTTTCAAGTGTGGCCACTTCCTCTTGCCTGGCCTAGCTCACCCTGGCTGCTGCCCAGTGTGGCTGCAATGGGAATACTGTGTGAAGAGGCCAGACCAGGACAGGAAGGCCCTGCTCAGAGTAGAGCTGGCAAGGTCCCTCCAGGCCTGGGACTGCTGTGGCAGAGGAAGTGCATGTTCAGTTTCGAGCTGGGATGTCCCCATTTGTCTCCATCTCCCCGCTCCTGCTCCCCACCCAACCCACTGTGGCTCAACTTGCAGCTATCCTACTCCAGGAGGGATGGGAGACCTTTGCCCTTTGCCAGGGTCACCCCGAGTGCCCAGCCCCACTTACGTACAGTATTATAAGGGGATGACTGTAGTAAGTAGCTGGCAGTGTGGGATTTAGCATAGAGTCCTGACGTGGTAACTTCTTGACTGTGAGATCTCTGGGTCTCCTGTGTTTCCGTTTTCTCAACTGCAAAATAATAGTTCCTACCTCCTGGGAGTTTTGTGGGGTGCCCCAGAGCTAACACACCCAGCCTGGAGCCTGGCTGATGGTAAGAACTCATGGACTTCCTCCAGCATTGCACACTGTGAGGCACCGTGCACCCAGCAAGCACCATCATAGTGTACGCTCAGCATGGTCAGAGTGAGAGGCTCATCTATTTTGGGTTTCTTAAATGATGAGAATCAGCAGATCCTACAATGCCCAGAGGTTTCCCGCTGGGGAGGATGGCTTTGCATTCTTGCCTTTCCTATGTGCCCTTCTCCTTCGCTTATTTTGTACACACAGGCTTGCCGTAGGCAAAGGTACACACATCTGAATTCAGCCCAGTGGAGGCAGTGGATCTAACAACGCTCCACTGTTGAGGATTCATAGGGGTGGCAGGACGGTCCATTCATAGGTTTGGTACCAGCAGACCACGTCCCAGCACTAGCTGACTACATCTTGTTTTAATGGTGATCACCAAAGTAGCTACAGATGGAGAAATATCGAGCTAGTTTTGGAAGGTTCCAACAACTGCTGGCTGCTCCTCAAATCTGTTTTCAGTCTGGATAAGCTTGCATCCCTTTGGTAGGCTGGAGCCATTCTACCCAGCACAGCCCTCTGCTCCCCCAGGGCTGGGGCAAGGGAGCTCGCTGTCCATCCACACAGCCTAGGCTGGCTGCTTTCGAGCCCAGTGCAAGTGTAGGCTTGCGGGCGGCTCTGGCAGTGCCTTTGTTTAAAGACTGTTGACTAAGCCCAGGTGTGCACGAAACCAATGTTTACAGAGTCCCGGTTGGCTGAGGGAGGCGGCTGGAATGAGGAAAATGATGTTTCAGGAAGGAAGGAGGTGGCATGGATAATGCAAAAGCCATTTGTTTAGGGCCTGGCTAAGAGGCGAAGTATTTTTTTGCAGATTTCCCTAAATCAACCAGACAGGAAAGTGTACGAGGACCTAGTAGCCCTTGAAAGTGAGTTCCTACATGTATGGGCCACAGGCGACTCAGAGCAGACGTAGAGCTCTCAGGGGTGGAAAGAGTCTTGGGGCTCATTTAATCCTTTCTGCCTATTTTCCAGGGAACCTCGAGGCCCAGGAGGTAAAATGGACCTCCCTAAGATCATTTGACTACTTAGTGATGGATGTAGAACTATTGTCCAGATCCCAAAACCGCATCCACCTGTAAGACAGTGGTCCTTGGAGTGTGCATCAGTGTGGCTTAGAGTGCTTGTTGAGATGGCAGATTTCCTGGCTGTACCCCCAGAAATTCTCATTTAATAGTGGGATGAAGAACATGTTTTCTTAACAAGCCCCCAGGGGAGTCGGATGCTAGTGATCTCCTCCAACATACTGTTAAATGCCACCCAACTACAAAGTGCATGTGTCCCTCAGACCCATAGGAAAATGTTTTGTATTCCAATTTCTTTTCTTTTTCTTTCTCTCTCTCTCTTTTTTTTTTTTTTTTTTTTTTTTTTTTAGGGAAGGGTCTACAGGGTGTTCAAGGTCTCACTACTAGATAGACTCATAGTGATCCACCTGTTTACAGCCTTCCAAGAGCTGGGATTATAGGTACACACCACCACGCCCAGTCTCAATTGCTGTTTCAGTGTGCCCTGGGGGTGGGGCCAGCACAGCAGGCTCAGGGGTCGAACCCCTAGCCCCTGCCCCTGCTTGCAGGCACTTGAATTCTCTGAGCTATTTGGCTAGCTCCTGTATTCCAATTTCTTGAAGCTGTATTAGTTGCAGTGAGGGGAACAGGTAGATCTGAACATCTTGGGAGATGAACACAGGAGAGGTTAAACCTAGGCTTTAGAACATATTGTGGGAGTCTGTGGTGCGTCAGGGGACTTGGCACGCGTACTCATTCCCCGCAATGTTTGAGCACTAGCTGAATATATCCTGCTGTCATGGTGACCATTAAAGGAGCGAAGGACTGAGAAATGTCTAGCTCTTTTTGGAAGTTTCCATAAGGCTTTGCAGGTTGGAGGGGGCGTAATCCTGGACAACCCCTAGGTCACTTGTCACTGTACATTGCCTGACACTGAAAGGTGATAACAGAAGAAGGTGACAATGTACTGACTTACACTGTCCTGATGATTAGATGACAAGATGCATGAGAAACACCTTGCCTAGTGCCCACTAAAGGACAGGTCAGAGGGCTGGGAACATAGCTCAGTGGCTCAAGCCCCTGCCTGGCAAGTGCAAGGCCCTGAGTTTGATTCTCGGGTATCCACACAAAAAAAATTAAAGGGCAGGTTCTCCATTATGCATAATTGCTGGGCTGGGCAAGACATTATGACCTTATGATTTCTGCTAAATGTCTTCAGTAACAAACTTCTGCTGAGGGTCCCACTTGACAGAAGACATGTTGGTTCTACAGTGAAAGAAAGTGTGAGTGCGCAAGTTCAAAAGTCTGTCTGTCCATCCCTGAGGAACTGGGATATACTGACCTTCTGCAGGGGTGGCATCGTAGTCTGTGCCTAGCACAGTGGCGACTTTCTCTGGGCCTGCTCTACTCCTCCATCCCACCCCATATCCATGCATCTGTGTGGACTGCAGCAACAGACTGGACAGGGGCTGTTACTCTCCATCTTCTAGAAGTGGAGACGAAGGCAATAGTTCTGGGCTGGGCCAGGGAGATGGGCCTTAGTTCAATCCCCGGTTCTGCCAAAAAAAAAAAAAAATAGTTCTGGGCCCTGGGAGCTCCTGTCCCCCCGCCCCCCCCCGCCCCCGGCCCATTTGTCAGATCTGAGAGCTGCTGAGACCCGCCCCCATGCTCCCTCAGAAGCTGGGCCTGAGGCCCTCGGGAAGCCAGCACCTTGGCTGGTGTGCCGCTGCCTGGTTCTGGCCAGCTTTGCTGCAAAGTCGGGTCAGCCTGACCTCAGAGCTGTAAAAGCCATCACAAGCACGGATGAAAGAGACAAGGGCAATCCTGTGCCTCATCTGGCTCTGCCATCGGCCTGGTGAGGGGACACCTTGTGCTGGGCAGGGTGGGGGTGCTGTCTGTGTGCACAGGATGTGCGTGTCTACATGTGCGTGTAGGAGTGTGGCAATTTCCAAAACACAGATTCAGAGTTGAGTGAAGAGAGGAACCTCTTGAGCGCCTGGGCTGGATGGGAGAGTTCGAAGAAATTTGTGGCGAGAGGTCTGGGCTGTGGCTAAGGAGGGGCTTGGCTGAGTGTGCATGAGGCACGCTGTGCAAATGAGTTGGTGTGTGAGGCAGTGGTCAACGCACAGGGGTGGCAGCGTGCTGTATGTACGCCACCCAAGGAGAGAGCTCTGGCCCAGGAGTCTCAGGGTCTGGGTTCAAATCCCAGCTTTGCAGCCACTTAGATCTTTGAACTTTGACCCTGTACTATCTGGAAGTGAGAACCCAGGGATTTTCCTGCCTCCCTGGCCACTGAGCTTCAGAGTGCATGTGGGGGCACTTGGGGACATGGGTGAGTGACAGTGCCAGGTGGGGAGAGGCTACCTGGCAGCTGCCTCTGGTGCTCTTGGCCTGGAGGGGGAGGCTGCTACTAGGGAACTCGAAGGGGGGAGGTGAGGAGGAGGAGCAGCCTGTGGCTGGGCAAGTGGCCCGCCAGGGTAAGCTCTCTAAACAATCCCATCTGCTGTCTGGGCTGGGTGGAATTTCTGATGGTGTCCGGGCTGCCTGAGGAGGGTGGCCCTCCCTGCGCAGCTGCTGCCTGCTCTTTTGAAGCTCAGCCACAGGCCCAGCTCCCCCCTTTCCCACCCTGGGCTCCCGTCCTGGGCCTGCATTCCTCAGCTGCTGTTAGGGCCACTTTGCCTGTACTCCTGTTGCCGTAGGACAGACCCCACCCCTAGGGCCACTCCTGGAGCCTCCACTGCAGCCACCACTGCCACTGAGCCCTCTCCTTCCTGAGGAGGCCTGGGCAGAATGCTCCAGCCATGTCTGTCCTCAGGAGCTCATTCACTGGGGACAGGGCGTGGGCAGGAAAGGGAGAGGGGCTCCTCCCTCAGAGGCCTCTGTGGCCTTTGTGTTG